CCCCCCCCCTCCCGCTTTTTGGGAATGGCCTAAAGACAACTAGTCAGTAGCACTGCCCTGGTTGGGGGGGGGGGGTGTTGATGTTGTTTAGACACAGGTAGACGGTTCAGTTGGTAGAAGACGAGAGTGGGTGGTTGGCGGGTGCTCTGGTGTAGTTTGCTCCTTTCCTATCACACATTTATCATCCTTATCTCTCCTTTTTTTTGTGTATGTTGCTCTCTTGTAACACATCTATTCTTCGGCACTTATATGACCTTATTGTCTTATTGTGTTGCAAGTGCTGTAAAACTCTTACCAAAAAAAAAAGAAGACGAGAGGACTAGAGAGAAAGAGAGAGCAAGCGCGTGCATGTGTTTATGTATGTGTATGCGTGTGAGTGTGTGTGTGTGTATGGGGTATGTCTGTTCTGACTTGAGGGTTCTAGTTCTAGCGTCCCAGATAGTGATTTAGTTAACACACCTTTACAGGTTCAAGTTTTCATTGTATAGGCTACAAGCGATAAAAAATGGTCCTCCTTTGGGATTGTGTATAAAATCTAGTCTGTTGAGTCTTCACGCGTTTCCTTGTATTTGTGTAATAGTGGTTAGGCTCTCGGACTCGCAACCGTAAGGTCGTGGGTTCGAATCCCGTCAAGGGCCCGACGTTGTGTCCTTGGGAAAGGCACTCTACACGAATTTTCCTCACTTCACCCAGTTGGGAATGGGTACACGGCTATAGACAGCGAAAGATCTTGTCAGTTTGTTAGTGTTTGAGCGCTTAATCGGCTGCTCGCACTGTATGCTTCCCGGGAAGCTGAGAATGTTTCGGAGTGTTCTATGGTCTGCTGGGGTAATAATATAGTGTAAAGCGCATAGAGCCTGCGGCTGAGCAGGGATGTGCGCTATACAAATGCTATCTATTATCTATTATTATTATTATTATTAATACATGCTCTGAAAAGTAGGTCACGTTATAAATACAACACGTTGGGGGTTCAATCTGTGTCCACAACACCTATGTTAGGATATAATACTTAGCACCTAAATGTTGCTTTTAAGCATGACCTACTTTTTAGAGTGCTAAGTATTACTCAAATAACAGGAAAAACGCAAAACTCTCAAAAGACTAGATTTTTTACTCTATCAAAAAGTGGTACCTTTTTGTGATCGCCTGTATAAAATTATGTATTTTGTTATTGTAACTTGATAAGCTTAAAGTTGAAGCAACACCAAATTATACATTTGCCATTTACAGTGGCTGTTTTATTTCTTGTCATACACCTTGCGTTCCACATTATGTTACAACTCCAAGACTCACAATTAATGTTGCTTGAAATTCTTCTTCTAAAAAAAAAAAAAAAACAAAACAGTACACAAATTGGTTGTAATAACAAGTTAATCAAAAATCCTTATCCACACTGCCAAACACACTCGTATATGCGTACATATTGTTCTCTTTCACTTTCGCTCCCACATACACATACTTATACATGCCTCGTTCTCTCTCTCTCTCCCCCCCCCCCCCCCTCCCTCTCTCTCTCTCTCTCTCTCTCTCTCTCTCTCTCTCTCTCTCTCTCACACACACACACACACACACACACACACACACACACACACACACACACACACACACACACACACTTGAACATATTCAAAGATGGTACACTATGTCAGGAATAACCCTGACCTTACTTACTGAGTTGCATTGGTTGTAACTTGCTGAAAGCCCCCCTTTGAGACTTCGACCCCCCAATAATATTAGATTATTTAGGAAGCGGGTGGCTTGGATCCTGCCTGCCAAAATCAACTTGGGCTCTGTGAGAAACATCACAGCATAAGGGGGCTATCCCGAAAAATGCTGTTTTGAAAAAAATTGAAGGTAAAGTTTTTGCCATTTTTTCAGTTTCTTTAAAAGACAAGGAGCGTTTTCTCTATAACCAAACAAATATACACACCAATGAAACCAATCTCCTGTAGATAGGGCAATGCCCACTTTTGGTGTAGATCAAGATTTCTGGAAACCCCCAAATTCTGGGTTAGCCCACTTGTCCTTAAAAGCGACCAAATGTCTGCTGAAATCATTTCTGATTTTGAATTAATAAGATGAATATTTGGAGAGATTTTGTTTTGGTCAGAACACAGCGTTTTATATTATTATTGTATTGTGAAGCTCTCAGAGCCTGTGTACTTTAATAGGGCTTGAGCGCTACATTATTATTATTATTATTATTATTATTATTATTATTATTATTAT